ACTCATTCATTAGAGTACCCTGAAAACATTCCCCCTGGTCCGAATGTATTCTCTGTGGACACCTGAACACCTGTATAAAGAGTTTGCAGACCGCTTCAGCGGCCGACTCTGCCGTCTGGTCTCTGGTGGGTACAGCCACCGCATACTTTGTGAAATGATCTGTCATGACTAGACAGTACAAGTGTCCCGAGGTAGAATACCCAATCTGTACATAGTCGATCATAAGGAGCTCTAGGGGTGCTGATGTCCGGACAGGAGCCTGCTGTTCAGTACTCTTACTCAGCCCGCAGGGCTGACACTTAAGACATGCCTCAGTCACCATGTCTGCCAAATCTGGACAGTACACAAGCCGTTGGAGCCACTTGAATGTTTTATCGCTCCCAAAATGGGCACACCTATCATGGGCTTCCCGGGGCAGCCTTCGGTCCCAATGACATGGGGATGACAATCTGTCGCCGGTACTGCAACTCTGTCTGCAAGTATATGGTCTGACACAGGAGGCCCTGGGTAACAGTTAGCTTATCCCACTGCCTCAACAACTTTTGGCCCTCGAGAGTCAGACGAGCTCGCTCTTCTGACAGAGGCCAGATCTTGGTCCGGACCCATTCTTTCACTTTCCACAGGTCCGGGCAGCTATCCTGGACCCTCTCCCAATCAGCCAACGTCTTTCCCAGCACCATTGGCATCCCGGACGCCACCCCACTTGAATGTGCCACGTCCAGGAACATGGGTAATCGACCAAGGTCAGAGGTTTCAGTGTCCTCTAGCTCCTCATCGGCACTCTGAACCGACAACCCTACAGGAACTCGGGAGAGTATGTCAGCATTGCCGTTCTCCCTACCTGACCGGAATGCGGTATTGGTACTTAGAAAGGCGAGCCAACTACCTCTGCTCAAGCACACCGAGTTTGGCATTTTCCAGATGTGCTAACAGGTTGTTGTCCGTCATCATGGTCACCTCTGCACCAGTCAGGTACTCTGCAAACTTTTCGGTCATGGCCCACACCAGTGCCAGTAGTTCCAATTTAAAGGAGCTATAGTTGTCAGGGTTGCGCTCTGACTCCCTCAGAGTCCGGCTGCCATAGGCAATGACTCTCTCACATCCATCCTGGACTTGGGATAACACAGCGCCCAGACCATGTAGACTTCCGTCAGTGTACAGCAGGAATGGGGTGTCGAACCACGCATAAGCCAGAATCGGGGCACTGATCAGCGCCCCCTTCACTGCTTCAAAGACCCCTTGTTGCCGGGGTCCCCACTCGATGGGACAATTCTTCGGGCCCCCTGCAGTGCCCCTCAATAACTCGTTTAACGGGCCCACCAAATGAGCAAACTTGGGCATAAACCTCCTATAGTAGCCGGCCAGTCCAATGAACGCCTGCGCCTCTCGTAGTGTACTCGGCTGGGGCCACTTCTGGACAGCCTCCACCTTGTCGGGGGTTGGCTTTACCCCCTCCTGGGTGACCAAATGTCCCAAATACTCTATCTGCTATCGAAACAGTTGGCACTTCTTGGGCTTGATTTTGAGCCCATGGTCTCGCAGCCGTCCTAAGACCTGTCGCAGTTTCTGGAGGTTGTCCTCAAAAGAGGCCCCAAACACTACTACGTCATCCAGGTATATCAATACCGACTCGAAGTTGAGATCTCCCAGACAGTGCTCCATCAACCACTGGAATTAGAGATGAGCGGATCGAACATGGCGAAGTGGAATTCGTTTCGAAGTTTGGGAAATATTCGATTCGCGACGAATCCGAAGATTAGCCAACTTCGGATGCGCGAATTTTTCCAAAAATGGCGGCGACATGTGTGGCGACGGAGCGGGGATCTCTGGGAAGGCGCGCAGACAAGGTGCGCTGACCCATAATGCATTCATTCATGACATGTGATCGCATTAGCCAATCAGCAGCCAGCCAGCCAGCACTGTGTAATGGTGGAGCTATAAATCGCGGCCATCTTAGAATTCTCCATTAGCCTCCGGTCATTCAAGAGAGACAGACCTGTGTGTATTAAGGGACAGAGTTAGGGCCACAGAGACTTTAGGGCCACAGAATCGTTACTCAGGGCCACAGAATCGTTACTCAGGGACACAGAATCGTTACTCAGGGACACAGAATCGTTACTCAGGGACACAGAATCGTTACTGAGGGACACAGAATTGTTACTCAGGGACACAGAATTGTTACTCAGGGACACAGAATCGTTACTCAGGGACACAGAATCGTTACTCAGGGACACAGAATCGTTACTGAGGGACACAGAATCGTTACTGAGGGACACAGAATCGTTACTGAGGGACACAGAATCGTTACTCAGGGACACAGAATCGTTACTCAGAGACACAGAATCGTTACTGAGGGACACAGAATCGTTACTCAGGGACACAGAATCGTTACTCAGGGACACAGAATTGTTACTCAGGGAAACAGAATCGTTACTCAGGGACACAGAATTGTTACTCAGGGACAGACACAGAATTGTTACTCAGGGACAGACACAATTGTTACTCAGGGACACAGAATCGTTACTCAGGGACACAGAATCGTTACTCAGGGACACAGAATTGTTACTGAGGGACACAGAATCGTTACTCAGGGACACAGAATTGTTACTGAGGGACACAGAATCGTTACGTTATTTTTGGGGTGCTTATAGAATTAAAGAGTATGTCAGACAACACGCAGAGGAGTGGCAGAGGAGGCAATGTTTCAGGAGCGAGCAGACGTGGCAGCAGAGGAAGGTGTCGAGGCAGCACTAGTCGCAGCCAGAGGCCAGTGCTCCCGGTGTCATCCAGCGGTCGTGTCTCCACCGACAACCCTGCCGTCATCGATTGGTTGGCTCGGTCGTCTTCCTCTTCCCAGGTCACCTCTGACACCTACAGCCAACGGTCGGTGTGTACGTCAGACACAACCGTTAGTTGGCATGGCCCGGGAGCAAGCCCACTGAAATCACGTGTCCAAATGCCCCTGTCCTTTGGTGTTCCCTCACCAAGCGAAGTATCGCATGCTGTGGGCTCAGCCCCACTGTACAGTGAGGAAGAGCTAACAGAGGGCGGTCAGGAATGGGGGGAGACATCCGCCTCTTCAGCAGCCAGGCGAAGAAGTACTGGCGAGGAGAGTGGCTCGGTAGCCGGTCTAGAGACAGGTCTGTCTCCTGACCCACACGCAGCCGAGGGGGCTAGTAGTGACACGGAGACCCTAATTGATGATGATGAGGCTGATCGCACTTGGCAGCCTCGTCGTCATCAGGCTATTGCTTCCGCATCATCAGGAGAAGAGGGTGCCAGCTTGGCAGCGAGCAAAACAGTCGGTGGGTTGCCCAGGAGGCAGCAGGGTCGCAGCAGTGTCAGTGGAGGCAAACGGCCACGGAGTAGAGCACCAGCTCCACTGCAGCCTACCACCACGGCCAGTAGTGGTGCCGGTGTGCACGGAGGAAGTAGCAGTCAGCCAGTGAGGAGTAGCGGGGGCAAAGTTTCCTACTCGGCGGTGTGGCAATTTTTCGTCAAGCCGCCCGAGGAAGTAAACGTAGCCGTATGTCGACTATGTGGCCAGAAAGTCAAGCGTGGCCAGGGGGCCCATGTTGGGACTACAGCATTGCGTCAGCATATGCAGCGTCGCCATTCGGTGGCCTGGGAAAACACGCTGCTGCTGGGGGGACTTTTTAACATAGGCCTCTGTATGGCCTTCAATTGAAGCTGCTTCTGCTCCGCCACTCTGCCATTGGACTCTTGATAGTCGACGACTATCAAGAGTCCAATGGCAGAGTGGCGGAGCAGAAGCAGCTTCAATTGAAGGCCATACACAGGCCTAGGTTTAAAAGTCCCTCACAGTTAATTCCAATAACGAACTCTACTCCTCCGTGCAATCTACTTACGAGACCCTGGGCAGGTCTGGGTCCAATTTGTGGTAGAGACTGGTTTTGTTCAGCCATGCTTGAGCGAGTAATAACAGGTCTGTGCTGCCCTTTGGTGTCTGGCTTAATGCGCACAACACTGAACGTCCCAGCGTTTGTCAACGATTTGCCGTTAAGTGATGCAAACCCGCTGAACCACGTTCATGAGGAGCCGGTACAGGGGGCCATGAATCAGTATGGACCTGGCAGCAGCGTGAGCAGACGACAGAGGCACATGGCGCAGGGTGGCGGTGGAGGCAGCAGTATCCGGAAGCCATACGCAGGCCTAGGTTAAAAAGCGGAAGCCGTCAGCAGCGTGAGCAGACGACAGAGGCACATGGCGCAGGGTGGCGGTGGATGCAGCAGTATTCGGAAGCCAAACACAGGCCTCGGTTAAAAAGCGGAAGCCGTCAGCAGCGTGAGCAGACGACAGAGGCACATGGCGCAGGGTGGCGGTGGAGGCAGCAGCAATGGAAGGCCATACAGCACCCTATCACAAAATGGAACCCACCAGCAGTGTGAGGAGACCTGAAAGTGGCACATGGCAGAGTGTGGCGATGGAGACAGCAGCAATGGGAGGCCGTACAGGGACCCATGACACACTCTGGACCTGGCAGCAGCAAGAGGAGGCGGTACAGGGGCCCATGGCAGAGTGGCGAAGCGTAAGCAGCTTAAATTGAAGGCCATACAGAGGCCTATGTTAAAAAGTCCCCCCAGCAGCAGCGTGGGGAGACGACTATTAGCCTCCTCATGCTGCTGCCAGGTCCAGAGTGTGTCATGGGTCCCTGTACGGCCTCCCATTGCTGCTGTCTCCATCGCCACACTCTGCCATGTGCCACTTTCAGGTCTCCTCACACTGCTGGTGGGTTCCATTTTGTCATAGGGTGCTGTATGGCCTCCCATTGCTGCTGCCAGGCCCGTAATCTGCCATGGGCCCCCGTACCGACTCCTCATGCTGCTGCCAGGCCCGTAATCTGTCATGGGCCCCCTGTACCGCCGCCTCCTCATGCTGCCGCCAGGTCCAGAGTGTGTCATGGGTCCCTGTACGGCCTCCCATTGCTGCTGTCTCCATCGCCACACTCTGCCATGTGCAACTTTCAGGTCTCCTCACACTGCTGGTGGGTTCCATTTTGTCATAGGGTGCTGTATGGCCTCCCATTGCTGCTGCCAGGCCCGTAATCTGCCATGGGCCCCCGTACCGACTCCTCATGCTGCTGCCAGGCCCGTAATCTGTCATGGGCCCCTGTACCGCCTCCTCATGCTGCTGCCAGGTCCAGAGTGTGTCATGGGTCCCTGTACGGCCTCCCATTGCTGCTGTCTCCATCGCCACACTCTGCCATGTGCCACTTTCAGGTCTCCTCAAACTGCTGGTGGGTTCCATTTTGTCATAGGGTGCTGTATGGCCTCCCATTGCTGCTGCCAGGCCCGTAATCTGCCATGGGCCCCCGTACCGACTCCTCATGCATGCTGCTGCTAGGCCCGTAATCTGTCATGGGCCCCTGTACTGCCTCCTCATGCTGCTGCCAGGTCCAGAGTGTGTCATGGGTCCCTGTACGGCCTCCCATTGCTGCTGTCTCCATCGCCACACTCTGCCATGTGCCACTTTCAGGTTTCCTCACACTGCTGGTGGGTTCCATTTTGTCATAGGGTGCTGTATGGCCTCCCATTGCTGCTGCCAGGCCCGTAATCTGCCATGGGCCCCCGTACCGACTCCTCATGCTGCTGCTAGGCCCGTAATCTGTCATGGGCCCCTGTACCGTCTCCTCATGCTGCCGCCAGGTCCAGAGTGTGTCATGGGTCCCTGTACGGCCTCCCATTGCTGCTGTCTCCATCGCCACACTCTGCCATGTGCCACTTTCAGGTCTCCTCACTCTGCTGGTGGGTTCCATTTTGTCATAGGGTGCTGTATGGCCTCCCATTGCTGCTGCCAGGCCCGTAATCTGCCATGGGCCCCTGTACCGCCTCCTCTTGCTGCTGCCAGGTCCAGAGTGTGTCATGGGTCCCTGTACGGCCTCCCATTGCTGCTGTCTCCATCGCCACAAATGAGTGAAGTGTGCGGTGATTCTAAGATCGACGGCACTCATCTGCATGTCATACTGACTGACAGTATTATTTCTCTTCCCCAGCAGACTCCAAGGGCATTTAAATTAAAGGTACAGTGTTCTGCACTAATATAAAGGCTCTCTGAAGCCTAGAAACACCCTTTTTATAAGTTAAATTCGCAGCGAATATATTCGCCTCGAATCAAAATTTTTCCGCGAATTCGGCGAATCAGCCGAATCGAATTTTTGAATACTTCGCTCATCTCTAACTGGAATGTTCCCGGGGCATTGGAATGGCCGAATGGCATCCGGTTGAATTCATAGAGACCCATAGGTTGGATGAAGGCCATCTTCACTTTGTCCTTCTTGGCCACCGGTACCTGCCAATACCCACTGGCCAGGTCAAGAGTCGAGAAGAACTTCGCATTACTCAGGGCGGACAACGACGACTCAATCCGCGGAAGGGGGTAGACATCCCGGACGGTCTGGGCATTCAGCTTCCGATAATCCACGCAGAAACGGAGACTCCCATCTTTCTTCCGCACCAAGACTACTGGAGCAGCCCAAGGACTTTGACTCTCCTGGATCACCTGGTTTTCCAACATGCCGGCCACCATATCCTTCAACCCCTGGTACATTTTAGGTGGGCTTTGCCGATAACGTTCCCTGACCGGTGCTGCATTGCCGGTGGGCATTTCGTGTTCGATGGTGGAGGCACACCCGAAGTCCTCATCATGTCTCGAGAAGGCCTCCTGAAACTCCCAAAGGGTGTCTTCCAGCAACTTCTGTTGTCCTGGAGTCAGGATCTTGAATTCCACCCCATCCGGGCCATGATCACATGACCGTTCCACTCCGCTGTCGGGGTCTCCCTTTGATGGACCTCTACAGCATAGGTCCAGGCTGATCTCCTATCTGGCCGTAGCATGAAGCTCCTCCGTCAAGGAATATCCCCTTCGGACACATATACTTCGGCCAGCAAGGTATTCCCAGGGCCAGTTAACTCAGTCTTCAATGTTGAGGCAGCGTACAGGCACACATCCATCCTTCACAATAGTGAGGGCCCAGGCTACAAGTGGATGAGTCTGTGTTTCTTCTTGGTAAGCGGGCTCGAACAGGACCTCCAGGGCATTCAGTCGTCGTCCAGCCCCAACAGGCAGCATTAATATTCGCTCATGTCGAGGCGGGATCTTCACCGGGGTCCTCCGTGGCACCCTCACGTGTCCAATGGGTCGACCGGACATGTCACCCTTTCGCAGACTACAGCTCCTCACCATCTGCTGTAGAACCTTCTGAGTTGGCCGGTGTGTGGTGGCCCGTTGCCAATACCTCAGCCCTTCTTTAGCATAAAGTTGGTGGTCTAGGTCTCTCAGCACGTTCATACCTAGTGTCACGTCCATCCCTCTCCGGGACGAATGATCCACCAGCACGACCCCCTTCTTGCCGACGTCTTGCCCACACAGTCGGACAAGCATCCAGACTATTCCTCGGACGTCCATCTCTCTGTTATTGGTAGCCGTCAGCTTGATGACGCTCCTGTCTTCCGACTCCATCATATGTCCAAAGTGTCTTTCGAAGAACTCCAGAGGCATAAGGGTACAATCCGACCCTGTATCAACTAGGCAGCGTATCTTCTGACCTTCCAACTTGGCTTCCATAACGGGGCTGCTGGCATACAGGTCATGTTCCTCATGCTTAGGGCCTAGCTTCTGGTGTAACGCCACAGGACGCCCAGCTACTGCGGTGGTTGGAAGTTTAACGTCGGCTTGGACTTCATCTGTTCTGGGCACTCTCTGGCCATGTGGCCGTACTGTCGACAAGCCCAACAGAGGGGTCCCCTTTTGACGTGCCCCCGCAGCTAAGTAATCCTGAGTGGAGTGGCGCGTGGTGCTGAGGTCATTTCCGGAGACCGGGGAGATTCTGCCTTCATCTGGGACACTTCCAGCCAAAAGTTCTCTTAATTCTGTCTGCAGGGCCTGGACCACATCCTTTAAGGATTCTGAGTCTTCAGATGCAGACTGACCTCTTGTAGCATGGGTACTACTCACTATTCCCGCCGCCGCCAGGTATGTACTACTCCTCTCTCTCTACGGCGGCTAAGTAGATGCTGTAGAATGTCATGTTGGGCGCCGTCCGGGTCATCTCTTGCAATTTGTCCTGTAAGAACTTGTTGGAGAGCCCCACTATGAACTGGTCTCGTAGTAGCCGGTCCACCTCCCGGAAAGCTCCCATGGCCTCTGGATCTCGCCGCTGTATTTCATTTAACATTTCCTGTAGGGCATTGGAGTACTGCATCAGGGTCTCGCCCTCTTGTTGTGGTCGGTTGAAGTGGCTCCGCAGCTGCACTACTTTAGCACGCCCCCCGTGGGATCTCTCCAGCAGGGAGAAGATTTTCTCTAGGGTGTCTCTCTCAGATTGGGGCCTTACCATTACTGTCCGTCTGACATCACCCTCTAGAGCCCCCAATGCAACCTCTGCCTGGAGATTGAATCTTTCTTTGCTGGGTGACCCATCCCAGTTAGCCCAGCTTAAGGAAAATTTAAGAGAATTTTTCACTCTCAATGACACCCCTGACACTTCTCATATGATACAATGGCTAGCACATAAGTGTGTCATGCAAGGGCATTTTATTACCCTTTCCACCAAAATGAAGAAGGCTAGGCAAGCTTTGTTAGGCGTATTACTCGTATTCAAACTTTTGAGTCAAATCATAAACGTTCGCAGGCAGTGCAGGTTTCTGAGGTGCTGTCCCAAGCCCGGCAAGCTTTTTTGGAGAAATTGGGGGGTCAGGTGCACAAAAATGTCACTCTCCACTCAAAATTCTTTTATGAATATGCCAATAAAAATGAACGTTACCTGGCCAGAGCACTTCAGAAAACCAAACAGGATATGACTGTTCATTCCATTAGAGATCAGTTGGGTAGTCAAACTCTTTGACGAAAGCTATTGCGTCTCAATTTGTTCAATATTGTGAAAAATTATATAATCTATCGACATTGGGAGACCATCCGGGAAATGCCCTTGACCGCGCGAGTGAGATCCAGGCATTCCTTGGTCAGTATGATGTTCCTCCTTTATCCCCGGATGCAGCGGAATCCCTGGATAAATTGATCTCGGTTGAGGGAGGTTTGGAGGCTCTTAAGAGCATGAAACCAGAGAAAAGTCCAGGTCTGGATGGACTGCCCACTCTATATTACAAAACGTTTCAGGAGTTGCTTCTCCCCAATTTTGTTTGAGTATTTAATTCATTGAAAGAGAACTTGCCACTCCCAAACCAACTTTTAGAGGCTCATGTGACTGTTATTCCAAAACCTGGTAAAGATTTAACACGGGTCCAAAATTATTGCCCAATTTCCCTACTAAACGTAGATGTGAAGTTCTTGCTAATCGCCTTTTGCCTCACCTTAAGTCATGAGTGGCGTTGGATCAGGTGGTCTGTGTCCCAGGTAGGGAGGGTCGTGACAATACGATTAAGGCGTTGGACATATACCACTGGTTGACTGCCTCTAAATACCCCGGGTTCTTTCTTTCTATGGATGCAGAAAAAGCATTTGATAGGGTATCTTGGGAATATATGGCAGCAGTGTTGTCAAATGTGGGACTGGGGATTAAAATGCAGACCTTTATTGGCTCCTTGTACTCCAATCCATCGGCTTCTGTGAAGGTAAATGGGCTGTTGTCAAAGGCCTTCTCGATTACAAATGGCACAAGACAGGAATGCCCACTGTCCCCCATTATTTTTGTGTTGACACTAGAACCCTTTTTAAGACAGATTTGAGCAGATATGGATATAGCGGGGATAACAATTGGATTACACTGTTATAAGGTGGTGGCCTTTGCGGACGATGTCTTTCTGTTTCTTTCTTGTCCAATAACTACTCCTCTGGCATTACTAAAGCTGATTAAGGAATATCAACAGTTGTCAAATTTCAAACTAAATTTGACGAAATCGCATGCACTCAATGTTACACTCCCGAAGGACACGGTAGATCAATGCCAACAAGAATTCCCATTTGAATGGCAGGTGAAGGGAATTACTTATCTAGGGATCTTTTTGCCGGCATCTCTGTCAGATCTGTATGATCTCAATTTCCAATCTTTGCTTCGCAAAATAGATGATGACTTGACTACCTGGAATGGTCTCCATATTTCTTGGTTTGGCAGAGAAGCAGTGCTAAAAATGACGGTACTGCCGTGATGTCTGTACCTCATGCAGACTATTCCAATTTCCCTTCCCAAAATCTTTTTCTGTATGGCTCAGCGCCTATTCTCCAGATTTATTTGGAAAAGTAGCACCCCTAGGATGAGTTTGTCTCAATTGAGTAAGGGATGGCTGGGAGTGCCGGACCTTGAATCTTATCATAGAGCCTGTCTACTCACTAGAATGGTGAACTGGAACACACATGCACAGATGAAAGAATGGGTTGGATTGGAACAGGAAATTGCAGATGGACTATTGGTGTCCATACCTTGGTTGCCCACATCAGCTACTGAAAGACGTTTTTGCGAAACGTCATTGGAGCGGTCTTGTTAGCTTTTAGAAAGGTCTGTAGAGCTGGGAAGGTTTAATCTATACCAAGTCCGATGACTCCTGTTGCAGACAATTCAGCCTTCCCCCCGGGCTTACAGCCTTCCTTTCGTAAGATTTTCATTGAAGC